TCCGTCTGTCAAATATTACTACCTGTAGCGTAGCAGCGGTTCAACAGCGAGAGCAGAACCAGCGTCTTACATCGCAGCTCGAAGACTTAAGGATGATCTAGGCTTGTTTTACAATCTCAAGTAGGCCTGTCGCCATAAACAACAAAAGCAGTTAATCACATGTTAAATTAAAATGAGCTCGATAATAAAATAAATTTGACCAGAGAGACTGGATGCCTAAAGTCTTCACTCTGGTGCTTTGTTATCCTTTTCCCCTCGTTTCCTTGGTAACATCTAAGCACACAGGGAGATAAAAACGTCAGTTTTCCTCCTCTCTGGCTGGACTCAATATACAGGACACGATGGCAAAAACAGCAACAAATTGAACAATTTTCAACTTTCATAGCGTTGCTAAGCCGCGTATGCACATCTGTGTGTACGAACTTGAAATTTTACATGCATGAATTACGTTGTTCTCTCTTCTGGGTGAGGGCAAAAAGGAAATTGCAATAATAAATGTGTAAAGACACAAATATATGGAACAAGAATCTCCGTATTTTAAAAGTATAAAATTTGTCTAATTTTTGCAATGCTCTGAAGATAAAAGGCAGCCTGAGCCACTTCCTGCCAAACCACTCCGCTAAGCTCTTTATCATGTCGCTGCATTTGATAACATAGTGGTCAATCTTTAAGGTAAGATTTAGTTTTGCTGCTTCTAAGGTCCCATTACCATGAAGTCTGTCTTGTCAGTGTTAAGTAGCAGGAATTGATTTGATAACCAGCCCCTGAGGGGTCTATCAGCCATTAATGGCTGATAGACAGGCCTCTAGTTTCAACAAGTCAGCACAGTTACCAGTAGTGAAAAGAAGATGTAGCTGCAGATCATCAGCATAACAGTGAAAGGTTACATTAAAGGGACACAAAAGAACACCGAGAGGATGAAAATGGAGAGAAAATAGCAGTTGGCCAAGCACAGACCTGGAGGGACCCCGTGCCTCACAGCACAGGTCACACACAGCTCATTTTTGAAGCCAACGTTCTCAGATGTCATGGACAGATAAGATCTCAGCAGTGAGTTTCCAGTAACTCCAATAAAATGTTGACGCCTGTCCAGTAGAATACTGTGGTCCACAGTTAGTATTCCACATGTCGTTTAATGTGAACTAAGCCACCAATCCAAAGGGCTGCATTCCTCACTGCATGGTTCACCTTCAGTGACCGATACAGAATGTGCCGCAGCATGCCCTGCAAACACACTGGTGAGGAATTTAACTGTGAAGAGTTCATTGTCGTCATACTCCTGCACATCTGAGAGAGAGTAAACGGTGAGCATAAAATCACCGAGATCAGCGTGAGCCATCAGGAACAATGAATGCAATGAAAACAAAGTGTGAGTGTGTGCATCCTTTTTATTTCATCAGAGATGAGAAGTTGTTTCATCACCCTACTGTGAAACTTCAGCTGCTTCTCATCTGTTCTGCCTTTGGTTGATTGGCAGCTGAGGTCCTCATCCATCTGGGCTCTTAGCTGCCTGCTCTGTATGCCTGTCCTAAAATACTCCCTGTGTTCTGTGTTTCAGCTGATTACAGTTTACACAGTGCCCGGAATGGACTCCGATTGGCTGATTGGCGAGAAAGGAAATCAGAAAGGAAAAGTGCCTGTCACATACCTGGAGCTTCTGAGTTAGAGTGCATGCATGTGCATGAGTGTGAACGGGCACAACTGAAGCTTTCACTTCAAAGGAAGTCACACTTGCACTAACGAGTAAGCTTCAGTAAACACTCCACTGCAATCCGCTGCACACACTCCTCAGAACAATGAGAGAAGGTCTGAACACATTGACACTGTTACAGCGAGAGCAGGAAACTCCCTGGCTGGGATCAGCCACATTCCTCATAGACCAGTTTTGGTGATGTCATATCAATGTTGTCATTGATGTTCTTCTATTTATTGAAGTGCATGTCAGATGTTTGATCAGAGGATTTCTGATGCTAACTTATTTGTTTTTTCTGAGTGTTTCTTCATGTTTTTACAGACCTTCCCACGATCTGGGAAAAACCTCCCAAAAATATAGAGTGGTGTGAAAAGTTTTTTTACTCTTTCTTTTTTTTTTTTTTTTTTTTTTTTTTTTTTTTTTTTTGCAAGTTTGTCACATTCAAAACATCAGACCACTTTAAATATTAGTCAAGTAACGTATGTAAAGACAAAATGCAATTTTTAAATGAGGATGTTTATTATTATGGGTAGGCCCGTGGCGATAAATCAATTAATTGCACGCTAAATTAAAATGAGATCCATAATAAAACGAGGGTGATAATAATCGCTTGTTTGTTTCGTCCCGTCTCTGTCTTTATCTACCAAAAAGACTGCATGAATAAAGTCTTCACTCCAGTGCTTTGTTACTCTTCTCCTCTCGTTTTCTTGGTAACAGCTAAACGCACAGGGAGGTAAAAGCGTCCGTTTCTCCTCTTGGGCTGAACTTGATACACAGGACACAATAGAAAAAACAGCTAAAAAAGTTGATAAATGTTCAACTTTCTTGTGTGGCCTTGCTTGACGAGCTAGAAATTTCACAGTAACGAATTACGGCGCTCACTCGGCTGCATGAGGGCAAGTGACCGTCGCCTCACTGCACAAACTCCATAGAAATGAATGGAGAGGGAGCAGCGCTGACTCCCATCCCCATGTGACCATTACCTCAGTTGGGGCTCCTGGTCTCCTACCACAGAGCTGGCATGAAGCCCAGAGAGGAGCAGCGAGCAAGTCGGGGAACCGCTGGTTTGAAAGCTCAACATTACAGCTGCAGTCTGGCAGTGCTTTAGATTCAAACTGAATCACCGCAGTTAACCATTGAATCTGTGGAGCCGCTACGTTGTAAAACAGTAGCAACTAAACAATACAACCAACATAACTGCAGCTAACGTGCTCTGATGCAGGTTTCCTTGCAACTGACCAAGTTATCTCAAATACTTGATAACAGTTATTGCTTCTGCTGGTTTCCCAACCAGTTATTAGGTTTAGGGGGTAATCGTTCCCACAGGACAATGTCAGTTCAGATTTTTTTTTTTTTTTTTTCACATTATAATAAACATTTTTGTTTAAAAACTGCATTTTGTGTTTACTTGTGTGGTCTTGAATATTTAAATTGGTTTGATGTACTGAAACACTGAAGTGTGAGAAACAAAAGGCAGGAAATCAGGGAGGAGGCAGACACTTGTTCACCCCACTGCATACTTCTGCTTTTTCTAATATGTTTGTTCTGCATTAGTAGGTTTCATCTGAAACCTTTCATCTTTACATGAAACGGTCCTGGACTTCAGGCATGCAGTTTTCATGTCATTCATTCGGGTTTAAACCACGCTTAAAATAAACAGTGAATCCCGGGTGTGATTCCATACCTCCCAATCCCCACCGGTTGACGTCTAGGTTCCCTAAACTCCCACAGATTGCTTTACAGGACAAACATTTTTCCAGAAAACACTGAAACGAGAACAGTGTTTACTTTTTAACTTTTTTTTTTCATCCATAACCAACTCAAACCTTCCACTGAAGCATTAATGTGCAGTGGAAAAGGGCAGATAATGATCCTCCTGGGATCTTTTCCACTCCTGACTGTTGAGAGGAAGATTTGTCTTAACTGCTGATAAAGATGAAAGTCTTAGCAATACTGCTTGCTTCATACCGTTCCACCACACTACAGATTCCCGCCTGAGGAACAGTCTGCACCCCTGTTCAGCAAATAACAAACTGCCTTACAGTGGCGGAGGGCAGCTGCTCACAGAATGTGCTCTTCAAGCCACAGCCAGCATGCAAGTGCCCCTGCCCTTCATCATACCAGTGCTTCTTCAGGTGGTTTGTCCTTTTAGTGTTTTGTTTGAACACCTTCAGGCCTGTTTGACTTGAACCTTAAAGTGTCCTCAGTCTTAGTGCTGCATGTGCTGCAAATTGCTGTAGTCGCCTGTCCTGCTGGAAGTGTGTGAGTGAATAAACAATGTGAGATTTGAACTTCTTTGCACCAAACCTCACATCCAGTCTGTATGCATGAACCTTTCTTACCTCCTAACAGCCGGTGTTATGAGTTTTAGTGAAATAAGCGGAAGGCCGTCTTCGCTCCAGACGTCAAGACAGAGGAATGTAACCACCTTGTCCTTCAAGCCTCACTTATTTTTGCTTTTTAATAAATGTGCTACTGATGTACCTTTATTTTGTTTGCATTGATTTACCTCTTACTATCTGAATGAGCAAAAATAATTTAATAAAATGCATAATTTATTTGAAATTGTCTCCTTTGCATTTACACTGTCAGTGAAATATATTCACTAAATCTGTCTCAGCACTTGTAGCCATCAACAAATGTCTGGCTTGATTCTGTCTGGATAATTGACCAATCTTCTTATAATGGTAGTAAATTAATATTGGGTTGTTTCCTTGGTGTGTAGACTCTTTAATTATAGTCCACAACATTGCAGCCATGTTTGAGGTCGGGGTTACCCATATGGCTTCCCTATTCAGATGTGGTGATGCATGTGGTTATCCCTCATGAATAACCAAGTGTCCTGGTCACAGAGGAAAAGCTTGAGCCAGTTGATGACATGTACGAGAAGAGTGTTTGGTGAAGTTAAAGTTTGGCTTTTTAAATCTAGCAAAATTCAACCTTGGTGGCATCATGGTGCTGTTCTGGTGCATTACAAAGTGGATTGAACTGTCTCCAAAATGTTCAGCTTTACATCGAATAAAGGGGTAACTGGGTGAAATTTGGACACAGCTGGGAGTTTGAGCAGACCTCTGTTGAGAATCTGAGTCATTGTTCTGGAAAGAAACCAGCAACAGAGGCTGCGAACTGCACTTGTCTAAAAATGTCTGGAAACCCACGGCAACAATCAGAGCTGTTAACAGCCAGACACTGGATGTGCAGCCTGTCAGCATGTGGCTACACAGCAGCCATTAAAGCCATTTTACAACTGAATCATGCAGCGGCCTGAAATAGGAAACTTGTGCTATAGAGGGGAACATACTGCCAAGGTTCTGATTCTACACCAAAGACGTGACCTTTGGCATCACAGAAACCCAGACAAACCCCATCAGCAGCTGCCAGTACTGCCTAATGCATCGACGGGGGAATCCTGTGAGCAACTCTTGGATAAAACCTTTAAATGTGAAATATGAATTCAGGAAGTTTAGGTTGACATCAAAAGGTGATTTTGAGCACAATTATGACTCTAAGTGACTTATAACTGGGAGAGAATGATCACACTCACACCGCTATGAATAAGACCACTTTTTAAGTGTTGCTTGAATTAGTCATACTTGACAACACTAACAACATTCTGTTGATAAAATACTTGTTCCCAAGTTGACCTCCCTTCCGGGACTCCACTTGCCCCTCCCTTAGCAACTTTCTGTATGTTTTGGATATGTCCCGCAAAAAATATTCATTAACTTTGGGAAGGATTCCAGACATGTGACACATCACAAGTTTAATTTCAATCATTTCTACTGAACACTCCGACCTCATTAAGCTGGATGAGTGTCCCTACTGTACAGCAGTCTTGAATCACTGACTTTCTAGAGAATCAACTTGAGCAGTCCAACATATTCAATAGATTTTCCTCAAATCACCAAGTGGGTTGCCTTAATGATTATCGTCATGTTGCGAAGTGAACATATATGCTAGTGCCATTTTTAAAAAGACTTAAACAAGACGGGGTCAGAACTTTATCCAGCTGAATCACTCCATCAGTTCCAATCAGTTTTCAGAAGAGACCTCTTCTGGAGCTGGAGCGTCTGAGAAAACGCAAAAGCTTTTCAGAAAGCCTAAAGCCAACTTGGAAACAAACCAGACAATGTTTAGAAAGCAATAAGATAGAATATGACTAAAAATTACAACATTCAAATTATAATGTCAAAATAATTTGATAAAAGACGCTTAAGCTACATGTTTTGCCTGAAACAGACTGTGGAACAGCTTTCAATCCTTTGGTCAGTTTAAAGGGGCAGTTTCATGTAAAATCAACTTTTTTGAGCTTTATGTCATGTTATAATGTTATCCCCTCATCAAAAACATAGCAGGAGTGGTTGAGAAATCATCTAATCTCCTGTGGCAACCATTCATCTGTGCAAAAGACCGGCGTGGACGTAGCTCCGCCTTTGAGGGGCAGCTCCACCTCAAAGCTGCAGTTTCCAAGCTTCCACCTCTCAGAGCAGCCCTTCCCCACAACTCCCTCCCCCATCTAGATCCTTCAGACTAGCCAGCAGCAGAAAGCAAACACCTGGTAGAACTATGCATCGCTGGTAAAAATGTTGCTGAAGACTTAGTAGAAGAGACATGTTGTGATGACTTCCTGAAGGCGGCTTTTCAGAAAGAGTGAAGAGTTTTAAGAGACAGAGGCCCAATTGCAAGGCATTAAATATCAAAGTCAAATTTCCTTTAAGTCATATATGATGTATATAGCATTATTATACCTGAAGGCAACATACTTGATTGTGCTACAAAATGGCACTATGTGGCTGAAAAATGCATCATACTGCCCCTTTAAGTCTAGACTGAAAATGCATTTCTTTTCCAAGGTTTTCAACAACAGTTGAAATGAGACAAAAATGTTGTACTTTATTGATCTGAGTATTGAAAAATTGCTGTAAAATGGAGTATACCTTGGTTGCTATTATCGTTATTGTTAGTTTATGCCAGAAAAGTCACCTGAGACATCTTAGCTGACTCCTTTTGAGGTTTGCTGATCCTTTTGATTTTATTTTATACCTGCTTCTGTCTGTAACTACTGCGAAGCGCTTTGGTCAGCTGAGGCTGTGGGTGATGTACTTTATAAGTGAACTTTGAATTGAGCTGAAAGTGTTGCTGTTGTTAAATCCAAACAGACGTTCATAATGTCCTGACTTAACAGCCTGTATCGCTTTGGTGCTGGGAGCAGGTGAGCTTAATGGTTCTGTTGTTGGCATTCCAGACTCCAGGACCTTGCTCAACAGCAACAGCTGTTTATATACAATGATACTCTTAGATTACATAGTGCAGACCTTAGTTGAAGATTAATATGGCTCTTAAAGTTAATGACTCAGAAAATATTGTTTCATGGCCTCAAAGTCCCTCCCAATCTTTACTTTCTACTTGTCTGAGATCAGCTCCCAGGTTCAGGACCAGACATTAGATTAGTTTGTTGTTGTAATTTATTACCTCTACTTAACTATACTTCTCCTAAAGTTATTAGATCGAGGCCTAAGGTCAACCAGACGAGCTCCTGTTTTACTTCAGTTCTCAGTTCTCTTGCTGCGGCTTGTGGTTCTAATGTGCTTCAACGGTGATAATGAGTGTTTGGACCCGACTCCTCCATGAACACACTTAAAAGCTGAATGCTTTTCACTGTGTTCTGTTCACAGATCAAAGTGAAACCTCTGTGCAGCTCAGTCAGAGTAAAATGCTTTGAACAGATGCCAAAGAACTATGAGACAAGAAGAAAACCATAAAAGTTCAGGAGAAAAAGGAAGAGCAGCGTGACTCAGATCTCACATGCTGTTGGACTAATGGAAATGAAATTAAGTCGTGGTCACACATCCATCCATCCATCCATCCATCCATCCATCCATCCATCCATCCATCCATCCATCCATCCATCCATCCATCCATCCATCCATCCATCCATCCATTCATTCATTCATTCATTCATTCATTCATTCATTTTCTTACACCCTTGTCCCTGGTGGGGTCGGGGTGGTTCCTATCTCCAGCGAGCCGTTTCAGGTGAGAGGTGGGTTCACCCTGGACAGGTGGCCAGTCCATGGCAGGTCATGGTCACACATATTTAATGAAAACACTCTTCAACACCAAATGCTTACCACTGTGGTAAAGTTCCATTCTAAATACATGTTAGAGCAAACTCCTCAGCCCTGACTTGCCCTGTGTGATTTATAACAGGCTATAAAATCATTTGCAGCCTCTGATTTAGTGACAGAATGAACCATATGTTCCTCTCCTGACATTTTGACTCCTCTCTTGTTCTGAAGTGTTTCGGTTTCCTCGCACTAACCAGACCACAGACGAGACACTGTGTCTGCCTGATGCAATGTGTGTGAACTCGTGCTTTGAGCTTTTCTAGGAACTATGATGATTGTTACAATTACAAGTTAATGTGAGTGATATTGTGACTCAACCTTTTTTTTTTCTACAGCAGCCAAACACACTGAAGGAACTTAGCAAAGAAGCCACAAGGTCAGATTTGTAGGATCACTTCCTGCTGCTGGCAACAACTTCCAGGTTCATATCTGGGTTTTCTGTTGCAGCTCAATTTCAAACTACAGAAACCTTAAAGTGACTGAGGAAGAGCTATTGCTGGCAGCTGAAGGAGTGCTGGAACATAGTTTCTGACACTAATGACTTCTGCTAGAAGAGCTTTGATGACAGAAGGGCCTACAGGCTAAACCTCTTCCTATCTCAAACGCCTGACTGAAGACATGCACCTTCAAACATGGAACTGGGTCTGTTTACAATAATAAATATGTATACAATGATAAGCACAGCCTTATCTTAACTACAGGTTTTCATACTGAGGCATATTGGTCAGGTATTTCTTGGATCCATTGGGATGCAGCACAGTACCAACTGTTTGTACAGTCCTGAAAAATAACACCTGCTGAAATTCATCATCATCATTCACAGCATTTCATTTAACAACAGACGGACTGCAAAACACAAACTCTTACCAAGTAATCCAGGTCTAGTTTCTAGTGCACATTTTAAATAAGACGAAATGCAATCACAATAACCTACAGGAGCTTGTTTTAAGTCTATGATTCTTTAATATTGATAAAAAACAAAGTTCTAGTCCCACTGGAAGATTTTCCCATGTTAAAAGGGAAATAATCTACCAGTGGAAGTAACACTTTACAATCTGTGCTCAAGAATTATGGACTTAAAACAAGCTCCTGTATCTTGCTAGAAAGTTATGTGTAAGTTAGTTTAGTCTCATTTCAAGTGTACTAAGATATTTCAAAAATCACTTGGTAAGATTTTGTTTGTGAAGGTTAACAGTCCACCTATACTTCTGATGAATGCCCAGGCGTTTCATACGCCTGGGCAGTCAGAGAGCTCTGCAGCAGATGGTTTGACGCCTGGACGGCAGCAGAGTTTCACTCGGTTCCTGTAGGTTCTGGCAGGATGTTGCACTAGTTTAGTAATTCATCATGCCACACGAGTT